CGAAGTGGCGTGAGGGCAGTTTCCTAACATTCACTGTAGATTTGCAATCTGGGTAAAAATTGTCATCGGTGGACTAGGGTGAAGATGGACAGTTAAACCGTTCAGTTGTAATGAGGTATACAGTCTAGATCTCTGCTGACAAGTGAATAATCCACAGTGCTGATTGACGGTCGTGCGTGATTTCACATGATTTCATCACTTTTTTTCACCTTTTTTTTTTTTTTTGTCTTACCTTAAACATCCGATTAAATACCAATTGTTTGGTATTTGTGATAACTTGCCACTACCAAAGTATTTGTATGAGTTATTAACGCGCTCTACACAATAATGTCGGATGGGGACGTTCATCCAGACGACACCCCCGTCGCAACACGGGGGCGGGGGGGGGGGCGAGGGTGCCGCGGGATGAAGGGGGTGTGCCTAGTGTATAGCCTCCTCCCTGGCAAGTAGGTACCATGTGAGGAGGGCGGAGAATTAGGGGTTCACAGAATGTATAGGATATTGTAGCAGACTGACTGAGCCCGACTTGTATCCCCGCGCCTCCCGCCCTTCTCTGTCCAAGCTCCGTGCGACAATTCCCCTTTCCTACCCTTCTCCGCTGTCATGGATGGTACAGGAGCCACAAACTTGGCCCCAAACCTGCGGTTCGATGCCGCTCCGCCCTTTTCCACTCCAAGCCAGAACCAGGTCTGACATGTCAGCAGTGCAGGAAATTGGGTGGGTTGGTTGGTTAGTAGGTTGGTACGTGGGTCACCACGCGTGTGCTTACATGGCGCCTAGTTACCCGGGAATGTGGTGAGGTGGAATCATGAAGAACGACGGGAAGGGGGTAAAATTTGGGGGAACGGGCAGGTTTAGGTGAAGGAAGAAGACAGAGTTCAGGGAATGCATGGACAAGAGGTTTTTCATTGACGATATCTATCAAAACCAAGATGAAAAATAGTAAATTTTTGCTATAAAAGAAACAAGATCCAAGGAAGATAACATTCTATTTTCTACTCTTATTTGGTACTTTTGTGCATTTGTGACGCTAAGGAGATAGAAAACCAACAACCAACAGATTCAAATTAAGAGCTATTATTTGTTGCCTTATTGGATGAAATATTGTGATTATTACAACCTTCAAGATGACCTAATTAAGATAGAGATCCTCAAAAACAACACATCTTTTTTCAAATAGATGGTGAGATATAATGTGTTTGATATCATGACCTTGGAAGAGATTTGCAATATTTGATGATTTTATTGAAAGTTAAAACGACTCTTGACAGTGTTCTAAATGTTTTATTTGAAAGAAGATATAAAGGCCCCAACAACGATCAAATAATAGGGTGGTTTTTCTACCTTGATATGAGACATTATTGATAGTTGAGAGCACCTATCTACCATCTTCAAAGAGAACAAAGATCAGAGTATGTAGAAAATATAAGTCATTGCATCTTGATTTTTCTCAACATATGATGACCGCTCTTTGTGGAACTCGTCTCTAGAAGAAGAAATAATATCACAGGCATACATATTTATTATAATATTTATTTATATGATTAAAAAGAAGTAGGTAAAAATAGATTTATTTCATAATATTTTTTAGAAAAACATCTTAGAAGCTTGATAGAAGCTTCTTAGACACTACTTTGACTTTATATGTATTTATAGTTGATTGATAGGTTAGAAAATTAGTCAACAAGTTAACTACATGATAATAGCTTGTGGAATAAGTTAACTATGTGGCACACATATAAAAAAAACTTGCCTTGCAAGTTAAAATGTGACTTACAAAGTCAATATGTTTTGGATTCTCTATAGGATACTACCACATAGCTCCTCATTAAGAGTATATATGGAGGCAAGAGTGAAATCTTCTTCACTCTTGTCAATGCCTTTCTAGTCTTTAGTTTTATTTCAAGACTTTCTAATCTTGATATCTTCGGGAATAGCCATTTTAATTGAATATTATACCATCTCTCTAATGATTTTCTAGTCTTTTTAAGTGTTACAAAAATGTATTTAGATTTTATTTCTTTGAGATTTATGTCCTTCACAATATTCTTTGCAAACATTAAATATGAACTAGTAAACTTTGTCTTTGATTATTTTAAATCTCATATATCATAATATATTGATTAGTTCTATTTTTACATTCCAACTTGAGATATTATGATTTCTTAATCCACATTACAAACGCATCCTATACCTTCTCCAAGTTAATTAGGAATTTTACTTGAACTTGCAATCAAGATCAAGCGCAATAGCAATCACAGTATTGGTTAATAAAATGGATCTTAGATAGCCTTAGCAAACACTTCTCTATACTTTCTATTCCAAAAAAATAAGAGATTGGCTTGACAATATAAAGGCCAATGCTTTCCACTAAAAATGATTAGTAGTTTTTGGAACTTATTGTAATGTTATGCATATTGGCACAAAAATAATTTCTTATTCTAATTATTCACTACAAAAATTTGGTAGCCAACTCACCATATAATCTTGCTGATCTTTTGCAAGACATCTTTAGAGGGTCATATTACTTGAAAATTAATTTATACTCATCATTGATTCAAGTAATATATACCAAAATTATTCATGCAATTCTAATAGTATCCAAGTATTCTTCCTACAAACGTTAGTTTAGATGCAAAGAAGACAACAAGTAATCAATATAAGAAATAAGGGATGAGAATAAGGATAATGAAGGAGGAAACAAAGGAAGGGGGAGATTTAGGCACAGAATAGGGAAGGAAGGAAGGAAGAGAACAATGACATGAGATTATGAATAAGGAATGGGAATGTAGATGGAGATAGTAGGGATTTGAATTGAGGAGAAATATGGAAATAACATTGAGAACAAGGGATGGAAAAAAAAAATAAGCAAAATCAATCATGAGATGGCAAAGAGAATGTGGCTTTAACATTTTTTTTTTTTTTTTTTAATCTTTTTTCTCTCTCTTTATATATATATAATAATATTACTTGTTGATTATTAGAACTTTGTGTATATTTCAACATACACAAACTTCTACTCACATAAATACTTATAATATGTAAAAATTTGTGTATATTTCAACATACACAAACTTCTACTCACATTCCTTGTTAATAACAAATGTTTTCTCACACTTATTACTAAAGTAGTTTTCATAACACAAGCATAATGTAAGTCCATAACTGTATGCCAGGATTATAAGCTGTTGAAATAAACTTTACTAAACAAACAAACGAACAAAAGATAGTAGAAAAAAGTGAACATAAGGACAAAAGTCTCGGAACTGTAACCGATTTTTTGAAATCTGGTTTGGGTTTAGGATCTTGACCTCCAAGAAAAAGAAAAAAAAAAAAGAAAAAAGAAAGAAGAAGCAATTTTACCCACAATACCACAAGGCTTGGGATCTAATCTTTTTTCATCCCACACCAAAACAATGGATCCAACAGAAAAGCCACTTGCAATGCAAATCCACACCACCATGATGTGGACTAGTCTTTGTTAGCCAAGACGCGCCTCGTTTGCGGCACCCTGCAGTGGATCCAAAAATAACAATGCAAATTAGGGGAATAATCAATCAGAATGGGTTCCCACAAGAAAACAATGGGTGGGTGCGGTTTTGAACAGTGGAACAGGTTGGTTGACAAATCCCAAGTCTTCGTGGTGGTGACGGTGGATTGACGTCCTCTCGTTTGCTGCTGCTGCTGCTGCTGCAGGGGCAACCATGGATGGAGAGTGGTGCTAAATCCAGACTCACGCCACTTTGTTGCGAACCTTCCAGGCCCAGACAAACAGCTTCTTCTTCCTTCTGCAGGGTAGTGGTCTCGTGCAAGCTCGTGCTTTCGTGGCTTTCTTTGCCTTGGAATTAACGTGAAACATCGAAGGAATGAGGAGTCATTATCTGCTTCGTTGCGGTACAGGTTCCAATAAAAGGATACTGTGAGGCGGGCTCTTAAAAGCATGATGATTTCGTGGAATATTTTTGTGCTTTCCAGCACCTCGGCCGTCAGCTACATTCCACATCAAGAGGAAAAAGGAAAAGAAACACAGAAAAGTAATGCCACACTGCGTGGTGATTCAAGTGGGAGAGAGAGAGAGAGGGAGTCCGAGATGGTCATTAACGAACAGCACAGTTTGCACCGCTTTGCACATGGCTGACTCACATTCCATCGTTTGTGGGGATCATTTCGTCGTTGGAGATTTCTTAGCAGGGGAGAGACTGAGAAGATTCCGCAGAGCATCTTCGTTACACGAGGAATCGGTTTCTTCAGGCGGTGTTTTGGGTCGTTAAAGCGACTTCGTGCACACATTCAACCCACTTGGATATAAAATTGAATGCGGTGGATTAGGAACTTATGAAATTTTATGTGGTCCAGCTGTTTTGATTGGACTTGAGATGCAAGTTTTGAGAGATCGTCTTTAATTCTCACGATCTTTTTTTTTACTTGTGCGAAGGAGACGTAGCAACTCCACACTAACCGTCGTTTGAAGTGCCTTGAACCACTGTGCTATCTTCTAAGGTTGCTGCAGAAGCGTTCGTTAAAGTTTTTAGAAGTTATTTTTATTTTTTCAAATGATGCTCCACACTAATTGAAGCAGCGTAGTAATGGTTTTCTATTCCCACGAGTGGAAAATGCTCAACTCAGCGACAGAAGACATGCAAGTCACGGCTCACAAATTGCGTTGGAAATGTTATATTTATTTATTTGAGTTTTATTAAAATGACGTCAGGTTCTAATAATTAAGCCAGAAGCATCAAGACAGGATCGGGAAAATTACGCAGGGGTAATACGCAAACAGTCCCTCACTGCGAGGAATTTCTAACCGTGGGACTCCTAACTAATTATACGTCCATCGGTCGGAAGCATCAACTTTCGGCCGGAAGGGGAAAAGTCTGAGTTTTACGGTCGCTGCCTAAAAAAGCGCACAAAAGCCTGCGAAACATTGGAGACAGCGACGGGATCTTCCGTTCAATCTTTAGGCCCCTGCGCTCCTCCACGTATATTAGAACCCCTCCGAGATAGCGTTCGGAGGAACAAACAATCTGGACCCTTCTTTGGCTATCCCCTTTTCGGCTACTTTAACTTCAAACTTTCCCTGGGAGTTTTGCCATTTGTCTCTGTGAAGAGAGTCTGGGTTTCGGAAGGTTTTTCGAAGTGATCGATTGAGGAGTCGGGAAGATCGTATCTGGTGTTGTTGCTTGTAGGAGAGTAGTTTGTTTGAGATGGCGAGTAATGGCAGCTTCGGTGACTACACGGCCACGAACTTGGACCGGGAAGAGTACTGGCCCTCCCAAAAGCTGAGAATTTCTATCACGGGAGCTGGTGGGTTTATTGCCTCGCACATCGCGCGTCGATTGAAGAGCGAGGGGCACTACATAATCGCCTCCGACTGGAAGAAGAATGAGCACATGAGTGAGGATATGTTCTGCGACGAGTTTCACCTCGTGGATCTGCGTGTCATGGACAATTGCATGAAGGTCACTAAGGGCGCTCATCATGTGTTCAACTTGGCTGCCGACATGGGTGGTATGGGCTTCATCCAGTCTAACCACGCCGTCATTATGTACAACAACACCATGATCAGTTTCAACATGCTCGAAGCCGCTCGCATCAACGGTGTTACCCGGTGCGCGCTCTCGCAGTGCTTTCTTTGCCATTACCAGTTCGATTTTCACTTCGTCTCTGCCATTAGTGGGAATTTTGTTTCTTTTATTCCTAATTGCGTTTGAAAGGAAGGGTTTCTTACCAGAGCAATTTGTTGTTCTGATGTGTGTAGGGTCGATTTATGTCTTTTTTGATATCACAAGTATGGAGTGGTAGCCTGAGTGGGTTTAGTGGATGTTTCAGGTTTTTCTATGCCTCAAGCGCGTGCATTTACCCTGAATTCAAGCAACTCGAAACTGATGTGAGCAGTTTGAAGGAGTCTGATGCGTGGCCCGCTCTGGTATAGTTTCTCTACCCTTAGTGGGAAGAACTTGTGGTCTATGATTGAAAGTCTACTCCTTTGGTGACCTTGAGGGATTCGCGTTGTTCGGGAAATTCGAGTGAGAGAAATAGTGATCGGCGACGCTCTCTGTGGGTTTGCAGTCTTGTTATTTAGGTGGCATTTCCGTAGCAGTCGCCACGCAGTTCTCTGTGGTGACCAGTGTCCGCGAACATCCATTGCTTTACATAATTTTTTTGGATTGGGCATTGATAAGTTACTTTTCTGGCAGCCCCAAGATGCTTACGGTCTTGAAAAGTTGGCCACCGAGGAGTTGTGCAAACATTACACGAAGGACTTTGGCATGGAGTGCCGCATTGGTCGCTTTCACAACATTTATGGCCCATACGGAACCTGGAAGGGTAAGTACAGGAGAGATTCGCCCATCATTATTCACTTTTTTAATCTCTTTAAACTTATCTCAAATCGAAGTATCATTAATGTAGTCAGATGTACTTGTGTTTTGCCTTGATTCTTTCTCGAGGGTTCTGAGTAACCATTGTTGAGCTTGCCTGTACAGGTGGGCGTGAGAAGGCACCCGCCGCCTTCTGCAGAAAGGCCTTGACAGCCACCGAGCATTTCGAGATGTGGGGCGATGGCAAGCAAACTCGCTCCTTCACCTTCATCGACGAGTGTGTAGAGGGCGTCTTGCGCTTGACGAAGTCCGACTTCCAAGAGCCTGTAAATATCGGTAGCGATGAGATGGTGAGCATGAACGAGATGGCCGAGATTGTGCTCAGCTTCGACAACAAGCAGCTCCCGATCAAGCACATTCCCGGACCCGAGGGAGTGCGGGGACGAAACTCTGATAACACTCTGATCAAGGAGAAGCTCGGCTGGGCTCCATCCATGCGACTCAGGGACGGACTCGCCATCACCTACAAGTGGATCAAGGAGCAGATTGAGAAGGAGAAGGAGTCCGGTGCAGACCTTGCATCCAAGTATGGATCTTCCAAGGTGGTCGGTACCCAAGCTCCAGTGCAGCTGGGCTCTTTGAGAGCTGCTGATGGCAAGGAGTAAACCAACTCAACTCAATTCCACAGGCTGGTTTAAAACAATCTGCATGATGTGACTGTGATTGTTGGGTTTTTTCTCCGTGTGAATTAGTTGTGTCGGTCGGTTGAGGTCGACTGTGAGACTCCACAGAATGAGGTCGCTTTGACTGTCTGAGTGTTTGCCGCAAGATGCCACCGGGTTTGACTATCCCTTGTTCAATTTTCCCCCTCACTCCCCCGCTCCCCTTGTGGTTTATAACCGAGCTGGAAGACCAGTGAAGCTTGGCTCCAGCCTAGATCAGTTAGAGTGTTTCAATGCAAGACATTCTTTCAATAATAAACAAAAAGAATAAAAGAACCTGATTGCAGGCGTCCATGTGACACTCACCTTTGATTAAACTCGTCAGTGGGTCAAGTTTTTTTCTTCTCATTTTGACAATGGTTCTGCGAAATTCTACCGAAGCTGGTGAAAATTCTGTTCATATTAGTATACCAGAAGTTCTTGTTAAAACCCCTAGTATCTTTGTTCGGTCAAATTTGAGTACTTCTAGCTATACGGACTTGGGTTGATGTTTTTACATGAGGGGTCAAAACTTGTAAGTAAGTAAATTGTAAAATTGAATCACATGCCCAGTTGCAAATAATTGCTTGTACATAACAGTAGATTAAAAATAATTTCCTGCAAATGACTAGAATGAAAATTCCATTATTTGTGTTAAATGTAAAATGAATAATTACGAAATGGAAAAAAAGGTGTATCCACAACGTTTGTAAAAACCAATGTATCATTTTAGTCTATAATGAAATCGACTAATCTATGATTGACACTCATCCATTGTCTAAAACTATCCTCTACAGTCTAGTCCTGGTCACAATTGTCATTGCAAGACACTTCATTGTACTTTCCTTTATTCCTGGAAAAGTCTCAAATTGAAACCTGGTACGTCCATCTCTTATCACACTGGATATGATAAACTGCTGTTACGTATTTGAGAATGTGTCTCCACAGTAAAGAATATTAAAGACTAGAAACAGATGAGTTTCAATTCCAATGTACTGTATGGTTTTTTTTTTTTATTATTTTAAATTTGAATGTTTTGGTGTGTGTGTGTGTGTATGTGTATATATATGTATATATATATATATAATTAAAATAAAGATAAAAATAAACAATTGCAGAACCCATTGGTTCTTAAGCTATACATAGATAATTTTGGATATTTATTTGATCAACTTGTTTATTTTTATTGAAGGTCTTTTACTTATTGAAATTTATTGAAGGTCTTTTACTTATATATATATATATATATATATATATATAGATATATATCTGTTTTTACAAAATTGCAGGTAATCTTAGAATGTTCATAATATTATATATATACATATATATATATTTTCATATACCATCAATAATATACTAAATAGAAATACATACTAATATTATGTAAAAACATAGAATTGATAGGTGAGATGTGTGTACAAAAAATATGCAATAAAAACATAGTAAGTGGCTTTACACAACACAAATGGTAGGATCCACTCCTTGATTCCATCATCACCATTAATGTACACCTTATCAACTTGTTTAATCATATTTTGTGGCAAAATATTATTAGGTGGCTTCTTACAAAGTTCTGAAGTTTTAATGTTATAAAATTCTAATTATGTTCTTGAGAATAACTTTTATATTGTTAAGCAGAGAATATATCATTTGATTTTTTTTTTGTTATAAATGAAAGTTTTGTTGGAAGAAAACAACCAAATCTAGTATTAAAAGAGTAATTTTTTTGAATTAAAGAGGACGATAGGCCATTTAGTGTTAAAAGAAAAGTAGGCATATGATATTGTTTTGATCAAAACAAGTTCTCTAACTACTACCAAAAAATTATAACTTTTCAATCTATGCAAAACCAATTTTAGAATTTTAATAAGATTAGAATGCATTTCAAATTGTAATTTATTTACTGTAAGCTTTTAGAAAAATCTAGCTAAAATTCTAAGTAGGATAATATTTTAGAAGCTACCAAATAAGTTCACTATAACAAGTATTGTTTTAATAAAACAACTTAAAGTGATATTTAGAGAAGATAACAACAATCTAACTAATGTAGATGTTGGATTTTGCATTGGTCTAGATTCTAAAAGATGGTAGAAACTATTTTTTTAGATTAATAAATCTTATAATAATAATAATAATAATAATAAATCTTAATAAACTATAACTACTTAGTTATTAAATGTAGATACTACCACAAATATAAGTGCAACATATAGATTCAACAGCTTTAAGTCTTCAAGCGAATAATTTAGATGAATTTACAATAATTTAAATAGGCTAATAAATAGAATTTTATAATAGTTAGCTACATATTGTACATAATAAGTTATAAGTTATAAATTATTGGCTTGCTTGATATCTTCTTTGATTGGGATCTTATGCATTTATTATTATTGGTTACATTATTGACTATTTTATATTAACTTTGAATAAGAAATTTTAAGAATGAGATTAAATAAATGGCTAGTGAGATCCTTGTATATGCACCAAATATGTGGTGCACAAGTTGGAAACTTGTTCTATGAATTAGATACATGTCTTGCAAGTTGGACATGTGACATATTGCCTATAAAGTATTGTCATATAACTCTTTAGTTAGATAGTATATACAAAAACAAGAGTAAGACCTATTTCACTCTAATCAATTAGTTTTATTGATTAGAGTGAAATAGGTCTTAAAACTAATCACTATAAGCAATTAGTTTTAAGAGTCTTTACTCTTCTTATCTTTGGCAACAACTATTCTAATTTCTTCTTATATATATATATATATATATATATATATATATATAATTTTTTTCTTTGATGTATATGCTACTTTTTTATATAATAAAAAAACATATACATATATTGTTTTTTGTAATACTTATCCTTGAAAGATATTTTGAACATAAGATGTTTTAAATCTATAAATAGTAGATAGAAGTCTATTGTAATGGCCTTCATAATATAAAATATTATTAAAATATCTATATTGAACTTGATTCTATTCTAAAAAATAGACAATTACTTCTTTAGTAACCTTGATATAAGATAATAAGCCAAAAGAAGTCATTACTAATAAAAAATTAATAGAAAGAATGCTTGGATTTTCTTCAATAGTTGGTTAGTTTCTTCCTTTGTTGCAATTAATGTAAGCTATATAAGTGGCATTGATACCTTTAAATCTACCTTTTTAATTTGATCAATTTCAAGCACTCATACTTTATTTGAATACCAAATATGGGAGAATTAGACATAATTAAATAAAACATATTCATTATTTTTTGCTCCAAAAAAATAAAACATTGTATACCATGTATACATAGTTGGCACAATTTGCTTTAAAGTTTGGCAAACTTTTTATTCATAGTCAATTGGTAAAGTTTATTTCTATCTAAGTTTTACCAATAATTATTGAAGTTGTCTATTCCACACATTATTTTGAACCATCATAGAATAATAATACTATTGAGAGTATTGAAAGTAATAGAATGATGTAACAAAGTTATTTAGAAATATGATGCCACAAATATGATTGACTTTATGGTAGTGGCTTCTAAGTCTAAAAAAACTACTACTATGGCTACAAGTAGCTTAATGAAGACATAAAAAAAATACTAGTAGTATGTTGTAATAATAATAGGAAAGGTCATATAAAAAATAAATTTTATTACTTAGAGATGAAGAAAAAAGATAAAATGTTGATAATTCCAATAAGAAAGATTAAAAAAAAAATCAAACATATAAGAATATATGGCTAAAAAGAAGCATCTATAATGATTAAATTTTAGAAAATTTAGCTATAATGAATAATATTACTTTCAATTCCAAATAAAGAAGCCATCTCTCTTAAGGAAAAAAAGTCTTTAAAAGCGAAGATGATTGTTCTTTAAGAAAAATTTAAGATTATGATATATTTAACTAAATTACTATATTTAGAGTCTAAATTTAATTTATATTATATTTTAGTTATTAAATTAGTATTTTAATTTTATATATTTATATTTATGATAAATATAAATAATTAATAAAAATAGTTATTATTTATATAAAAATGTGAGCCAATAATAGGACATTGGTAAATTTGATTGTGGATGAACAAGTAAATTGTATGCAAGCGAAGTCAAATTAGCCAAATTTGTTTTTTAATTTGAATGAGGTTGTTATAAATTATACTTCAATTTTGAGTTTAGCAGGTAGAAGTATAATTTTTAAAGATGCCACACATATATCAACTTATTAGATATTGTAAACATATATTTTTTTTACATTAAAATTAATTTCATTCACTTTCAAAATGATGAAAGTTTAAAAGATAAGATAGATTTATCTTCTTTTAATGTAGACCAAACAATGGCCAAACCATTTGTGGATAAAAATTTGGAAGTAATGGCTAAATTGCAAGTAGAACTTGATATGAAAGCAAATACAATTTTTGATGATAGCACATTCTTGACGTTTGAGCTTTTTATATCATTGGCCACCAAAGCCACTTATTTATTAAATATGGCTATTAGATCTATATAGAGATGTTGTCATATTATATTTATACACAATATATAAAAACTAGATAATAACTATGAAATAAATTAATATTTAGTTTGTATTTTTTAATTAAATAAAATATTTTAAAAAATAATTAGATATTATAAATAACTAATTAATTTAATCATAGATTAGAATAAAGATTAATAATAATATATTTAGAATATAAAAAAATATGGTTGTGTAATTCTTATTAGTAAGAAATGTCATAGTTGTTAAAAAAAATAAGTTTATAGATGAAAGTTTATATGATTTAGGATAACTAAATATTAGAGTATTTATTTAATTTGAAATTTGATGCATATATTTTTAATAGGTTTAAAGATAGGTGTAAATTTTTTTGTAGAAAAATAATTTTTAGTTTTTAAGAAATTGAGATTTAAAAAATAAAATAAAGTTATTAGATTATGAGTTTATAGAAAGAAGAATTGAGGCTTAGGAAATTAAACAACAATTTAGGGCTTATAGAGAGAGATGGATGATAAGATACTTGGATGGTATCTAAGGGGTTCTAGGTTCAAATTCCATGGTAGCATATAAAGAAAAGAAAAGAAAAGAAAAGAAAAATATATATATATATTTTTTTCAAAAACATTTAATTTATTTATAGAAGATATCTAGAGAATTGACTCTATAATATTTGCATTAGAGAATTATGTCGGATGACAAAGGCATTTATTGCCTATGGACAAAAGCAAGGAATATCTTTTAGTAGTAGCATGATATGTAATTTTTCTTATTTGATAGATAGGACATCTAAAAATGACTTCATTAATGATTAAAACAAGATAAAAGAGGCAATTAGATTTTT